TCAGCGGCCAACATCATAAACAAGAGTGCCTGTTGAACTCTTATCTTCTAAAACACACAGACCACTATGTCCGGTCCCTTCCTAAAACTAAGATGAGTCAGAGGGGCGATCCAGTGCATATAACCTACTACCTTACAAGCAATACTGGGTGCCTGGTTAAGGTACTGATTACGTTCTTGGGCACGCTACCATACGCACCACTGAACCATTACTGTCGCTGTACGATACTGTCCTTACCACAGGTAAGTTCATGCACTATGTCCACCTACTCACTCAACGTGCTCGAACTAAACCCTAGTGACTACTCAGGGCACTCCTTTAGAATAGGAGCAGCTTACACAGCCTATAGCCAAGACATCCCCGCACACGTTAAGACACGGGGCCGCTGGGAATCATAGGCTTATGCGACGTACATACCACAGCCGATTCCGGAATTAGGACACTTTCATTAAAATGTCTAACTGATGGTTAACAAATGCACTATGATCCTGTATAATGTTTTGCATTAATATGTCTCTTTTTGCCCACTTTTTACCGGCCTACAGCATACGTCGGTTTCGGCACACCTCAACCGATTATTCCTAAAGCTACATCTCTACAACCCATCTTATTCTATATCATATGAGAATGCCCCGAACACAAATTGGAAGGCAAGGCCTGAAGTTGTGGGAGGGGCTATAGACCTATAAAAGGGACTCCCCCCTCTCCCTACTTACCTTTGTTGGTCAGACGAATAGCCCCACCCTCCACTCCCATTGTTCATATTTCCTCTATGTAAGCCCACTTTTTACCGGTCTACAGCATACGTCGGTTTCGGCACACCTCAACCGATTATTCCTAAAGCTACATTTCTACAACCCATCTTATTCTATATCATATGAGAATGCCCCTGGCCATCGGGCACACGCACAACAGGCAAATGCTCGGTGGGCCACGGTGGCCATGGGCTGAGGTCGGCAGGGGAGGTCACAGGATCTCCCCTGTTGGTTCATGCAGAGCTCCTTTTCGAGATCAAAGATCTCCCTCACCGGCCCACAAGCAGTTACATGCAGCCGCCAGCTGGGGAGGGAGGGATAGAGGAGCGGACCCGGAGGAGCTCTATCTTGCAGCTCCGCAGGCTTCCTCTAGCGAGATTCAGAGCATTGCCATCGCAACGCCCCTGATCTCGCGAGAGTGAATTCTAGCCCTGTAGGCTAGAGTTCACTCACCACTAGGACCACCAGAGATTGCAGCACGGCCTCCCTCCCAGGGATAAGGTAAGAAGGGGGAGGGGGGGGAATACAATGCCTGTTTTATTATATTTTTATTAAAAAAAATATATATATATAGTATCATTAATCTGCCTCCCCCAACACACAATCCCTCTGTGACGAGACCAATCTCGCCACATTGCATTGGAGAAGCCTGGTTGCCCGCCTGCTGCCTTTGGACTATGGCCCCGTGTTAAAAGACATCTTTTTTACCTGCAGAAAAGATTTATTCGTTCTTTTCTGCCTGGTGTTCGGTAAATTCAATCTACCGAACAACCGCACGAATGACTGGACCACCTGGGAGCTGGAGTGTGCCGGCAATTAGCCTCCCTGAAGCTGCGGTTAACCGCAGCTTAATTGACGAATGCTTGGTAGCCGCCATTCGTATCACGAACACGAGGTCGCGGACATTTTAAACATGCGAACGCACAACGGTGTTCGACGCTTAATTCATGGAACTGAAATCGGACACAGTTTTGCGCGAACACCGCTGAAGCCGCCGACCTCCCTTCTTGTTCGCTGAAAGTGCACGAACGGCGCGGTGTTCGGTAGTTGTGCTTGAATGTGTTATACTCCAGATAGGAATCCCATGGAGCCCATTCGCATGAAACTGACTGTGTAAAGACTTTAGCTCCATGGCGATTAAACTGTATTCATGTGGTCTGAGCGCCATTTGCTTAATAATGTGCGCTCAGACCTGAGCTATCTGGGGATATGTTAAATGTATGCTTTTAATGTTATGTCTCACATAGTGTATTTTAATAGTAATTCGTGTGTTAGTATCCCCACATGCATAATGGCGATTTGCCTTTGTCTTTGGAGATAATTGAATTACTTCTCAATTATCTCCAAGGCAGAGGGGAGGAAGCCAGGATGCATTGTGGGAATACAATGTGACTGTGTGTCCTGGATTGCTGCTTGTCTGTCCCTTGTCACAGTCTCCCATCTGGTCCCCTAGGGGAGTGTCCACCAGGTGGGAGACCTGCATAAATACTGGGCAGGTAGCCCTCATTAAACAGACCACTGCTTGACCCTCAACACGGAGCCTTGTCTCGTCTTTGGGGGGATTTACTGAACACTGATAGAGACTGATTGCTAGGAGTGTAAGCCGCTTGGATGCTTTTCCTATTCGTCTGCTAGCAGCTATTCGTATGGTTCCTGTTCGTGTGTTTGGAGTGCTATATTGGATGCCGTTCGGGAGTTTGGAGCATTCACTTATTGGCGGTTCGTGTGTTTGGTGTTCTACAATAGCTGTGCCTGTATCTCTGGAAAGGGGGACGATCGCCTAAACGGTTTTTACCCCTTGTGTGCAAAACGGTCCGTTACACCCTCCAAATATATACACACACAGCACCCTCACACATAGCACTCTCACACACACAAAGCACCCTCACACGCAGCACCATCACAGACAGCACTCTCAGACACACAGCAATCACCCTTACGCACAGCAGTCGCATGACTCTGTGCACAATGATGATGTCACAGGTCAAAGTGGAAGGCCCAAATACCTTCCACATGTCATAATTAACTTAAATCGAAAGGTAGCCAATCATAAGCCTCCAATGCATATTTAAACCTACCTCTTCCGTGTCTTCCTGCCCTGTTGTGGTCTTCTGATAGCCCAATAGCGTGTGTATTCTGTTTGATTTTCTGGTTAACGAATCTTGTCTTGTCTCATCATTTATCCTGCTTTCTCTGACCCTTGATCTCGGCTTGTCTTATCGATTATTCTGTCTCTCTGGTTCCCTCTGACTTTGACTTTTATCCTGACTTCTCTCTGTGTGCACAGCCTGGCCACTCTAAGGACCGGTACTGCACTGCTTGCGTCTGTGTTCTGTCAGCATGTCTGGTTCCAGAGTCTGTGACACTTGCTACATCCCCTATATACACTATGCCCCGGGCCCTATATACACACTCTCTACAGCCCCTAGCCACACATGGATTACATTACACCACAAACACAACACAAGTGAAACCGACCTATTTACATGATACCACACCACAATTAGCTCACTCTACACACACGCAATCACACAAGCAGGCTCCACACACATGCACAATACTCTTTCCTTGCCCTTTTTTCTCCTGGTATCCTATTTATAGAGACACCAGAGACACGTTGCAAGCATACACAGCGCAAGCATGTTATTAAAGGGACACTATAGTCACCAGAACAACTACAGCTTATTGAATTTGTTCTGGTGAGTAGAGTAATTACTGTCAGGCTTTTTGCTGTAAACACTGTCTTTTCAGAGAAAATGCAGTGTTTACATTACAGCCTAGTGATAACTTCACTGGCCACTCCTTAGATGGCTGTTAGAGATCCTTCCTGGGTCATGGCTATCTAAAATGCGTCCAAACATTCAGTGTCTCCTCCCTCTGCATGCAGACACTGAACTTTCCTCATAGAGATGCATTGATTCAATTCATCTCTATGAGGAGATGCTGATTGGCCAGGGCTGTGTTTGAATCATGCTGGCTCTGCCCCTGATCTGCCTCTCTGTCAGTCTCAGCCAATCATATGGGGAAGCATTGTGATTGGATCAGGCTACCACTTCTGATGATGTCAGCAGACAGCTTGTTTTTCTGAGACAAACAGCATGCAGAGTTACAGCTTCAGGCTTGAATACAGTAAGATGTTGCTATATTTATGGAGGTATGAGGGTCCCAGGGGGGCTAGATGGTGATGTTAACACTATAGGGTCAGAAATACATGTTTGTGTTCCTGACCCTATAGTGATCCTTTAAATTTGCTTGCACTGTGCAGTACAAATACAGGACATTTTTCTCATGCTAGAGCTCTTCAGCAGAGCGCTATGCATGGTCTACACTGGAAGAGCATTGAATATACATGCTCACTTTGAGAGGGGGAATGCTTGTCATTGGTGATGACAAAACACAACCTCTCAGGCCCCGCCCCTTCTCAGTGGGCCACTGTGATTAAAATAAGCTTTTTTCTCAGTCCGGCCCTGACAGGGAGCATTGTCCAAAGTACCCATGTGGCCCAGCTTCCACTAATAGTGACTCTGTTACCCAAATACACAGTGTGTAGACTCCAATAATTTACTGGGACATCTGTTTAAACTAGCCATGGCAAAGATCTGTTGGATGGTCACCTTCATTGTGATGTTGAGCAGGATGTCCTTAGAGTTCCCTATCTGAAAAGATTGGGTCATTTATTCTATACGGTAGTGGTTTCTTTTAACATTGGCAATATCAAAGAGCAAAAAGTGACAATGTGATTAATACTCACTTATACAAAAACACACACTGATTGGTGAAAACATATAGGAGTTTTCATGCAATATTACCAAGAATGGAATGAAACCATAACAGAGGTGTCACACTTTCAAAAGGGAATGAAATTCATAATCTAGCCCTAGGAATCCTTTGGACAGCGATGAAACAGTATGCTAACTAGCACTGCTTTGATGGGTTTTATGGTAGACTTGACCCTTTTGCTGGAACTTCAATGAGTTGCCTTCTGGAAAATGCCAAATTTTGACTTTCATAGGTTCTCAGTTTGTCTGGCAGCCATTTTGGAAAGGATACCATGAGGTTTGCATCTACTTGCACATCAATTCTGTGACAGAAACTGGTCTTGGGAAAGGTGGCTTTAACTGTGTACAGTCTTCTTCATCTATATATACGTATAGGGACGGCCAAGGGCAGCACAAAACCATGATACACCACTGCATATGTACAGCTTTCAGCAAAGATTACTTGTATCAGTGTGCAAACCGGGATATGTCTGACACCAATATTCAGGCCTCTAACAAACTGCACATTGAAACCCAAGGAGAGCAGCACTGGTATTTGTTTTGCCTGGGGAGTTCTAGACTCTGTAACTACCTGATCACCCAATTATACTCATTAAGGTGAGTTATTACAGTTTAGAAGAGTTATGAATCACAATCCAAATTGTATTGCATTTTAGATGCCAATATGTGTGTTAAATAAAGGCTCAACCAAAATATCCCTTAAAGATATCATACAAAAGAAGCTATTTTTCTTTGCATTTTGTCATTAAATAAGTAATCCTTTTACAAAAATTTACCTTCTGTCTCCCTAAGCATATTGTTTATTAATGCTAGAATCACTTTTCACTGTATTTTCTAGTTATTTTCAATAGTGTGGATTCCAATTCATACATTACCAACCATACTCTCAAAATTACGTAACAACCAACAAAATATAAGGGATACAACGCCCGGTTAATAGTTCTAGAGGTGTCTGCTGCTTTGAACAGAATTGGCCATACCATGAATTCTATTGTTTCTGCAACCCAACTTTATAATGTATTGTTCTAACAATTTCTTCTTCCTGTTTCCTCTCGATCTACACCATTTATTAACTACATGTTCCTTGAGCATCTTTTTATTTAAAAAAAAATACACACATATAAAGTGCAATAAATAAATAAATATACAATAATAAATAGACACACTGTGATAAATACATTAAAGGGACACTTTAGTCACCCAAATCACTTCAGCTCAATGAAGTGGTCTGGGTGCAATGTCACTCAGGTTTTAACCCTTCAAATGCAAACATAGCAGTTTCAGAGAAACTGCTATGTTTACATTTGGGGTTAAGCCAGCCTCTAGTGGCTGTCTTCCGGACTGCCACTTGAGGCGCATCTGTGACGCTGGAGGCATATTATGCCTCCATCACGCAGAGCGTCCATAGGAAAGCATTGAGAAATGCTTTCCAATGGACACTTTGAATGTGCGCGCAGCACTTGCCGCGCATGCGCATTCGGCTCCTCTGACATCGGCAGAGGGAGCTGACGTCGGTGAGGGAGAAGAGGTCACCAGCGCCAAGGGAGCGCCGAGGGAGGGAGCCCGGTGCTGGAATAAGGTAAGAGGCTTAAGGGGTTTTAACCCCTTCAGCGCCACCGGAGGGGACCCTGAGGGTGGGGGCACCCTCAGGGCACTGTCGTGTCAGGAAAACCGCTTTGTTTTCCTGACACTATAGTGATCCTTTAATAAATAAGTTATGCTTTCCTCTTAAATAATTGTTTCAGGAACACTGAGAGACAATTCCTATAATGGGAAAAAAAACAAAAGAAAATCGATTCATAGCGTAACTTGTATTAGAAGTGCAGCTAAAGGCTACTTTTCTGAACTACACATATCTTTTAGAGCTTTCACCAGGTTCCATAAAACATTGGCGGTTGGCCTTTCTTTGGCAAATAATAAACTACCACCAATGTGGATCTCCAGCCAACAAGGACCAAGTCCAATTTGTATATCAATATAATTTACTACAAAACATAAAACAATAAAAAAGGAACTAATGGCTACAACATAAAAGTGTCAATGGTTTTAAATCACCACTACATACATACACTATGTATTTTAACTGGTACAAGGTACTTAAGTCCCTAAACCCCAAAATCCTTTTTTATAGAATTCTTAATTGGCCTTTTCCTTCCACACATCTCCCTCAGGTGTAATAGTTTCTGGGGCATGTGATCTCTTGTTTTCTACATGTATACTGTATTCCAGGTCATGTGACAGTAATGGAGTCTTTCACACATGCACAAGATGGTGGATGCCACGTACTACTCCAACTCCTGTGGAGATACGGCAGCACAGGTCAGGAGTGGATATTGTCCGCTTCCCCACCACCCCAGACTCACTAGACCATCAAGCCTGCTATCTGTTTGCTGGCAACGTGGATCTCTGGGGACATCAAACACGTTCCAGTACACATTCCAAGTGGTCCAGGAGCACCCAGGGTGAGCTAAGGCCGTCAATGAGGGTGTCATTTGTAGCAATAGCAGATTTTATTCAGTCATGTGCCTGAGCTCATACAAGATGCGTCTGTCCAACATAACAGTCATGCAACGCCCCCAAATTTACTTACTCTTTTCAGTCATGGTAGTGTATTTATCTCCAACTGGCATAAGGAGCTTGAATGTATTTTTCTTTTTATTTGAAGAAAGTTTAATGTAGTTTTGTTATCCGTCCAGTTAAGTGATCATTCCAGCCTAAATGTTAACAAAATTACTGCTAGCACCTTTACACAATTTCAGGAGGATCTTCAACGGAAGGACAACTACATTAGAAAATATGATATTTTTTGTCAGATTCCAGGTTGTTGAATTCAGTCACTAGTTGAAACGAGTCCAATTTTCACTAGTTCAAACTAGTTCAATTTTTATGAACTTTATTTAGGTTAGGGCATACACATACTGTATATTTATAGGACTGGATTAGGGCAAGTGTGATTAGAACAAAGATGAAGTGCCAGACAGGAAATTCAAGGTTTGTCTCCACGAGGGAAAAATAATTTTCTTGAGCGAAAGGATCCATTTTTGTTGCTTTAACTAGACAAGCCCGCAGTGAGTGTGTGAGTGAACTGGCCTGACCTGATTCATTGTAATTGGTTTCTGTCACAGTAAAGGCTGCCATTTGTCCTGGGCAGTATTATCAATAAAATCCATTACCTGGAAAGAGATCTAAGTTGGCGGCATCCAACTTAGTAATGTGATGTATTGTTATCGGTATTCCTGAGTACTTGCAAAAATGGTACAAAAATTAAAAACCAAGCCTACTGATAGCTAAAACAAAGTATCAAGCTTTGTAACACTATGAGTTTCCTGCACCCCTTAATAGTAGTCCTTGGCTCCCATCTATCCCCCTATTCCATATGATCTAGAGGGAAGGATGGGGGGATCTTCTTTCATTAAAAAAATGCAATTCCTGGCACAAGAGAATGGAGATCCACTCCATCATTAGGTGTTGCTGGGGACATTATTTATTTAGTAATCACACTGTGCTAAAAGGCAGCTCATGTAATCATAGGAAATGTAATCTTTACCATTCCGACTGTAATCTTATGCTGAAAATGCGTATAAGTCCTCAACAAAATTCTATTACGACATCCATCCACATAGGGTGTATTTATGTATGCTGTGAGTTGTCTATTTCCTTCATCATTAGCATTCTATCCTTCCGTATGACCTGTCACTATCTCAGTCTATATTTCAAACTTGACATCTTAGTGATGATAGTGCACACAGGCAACCAAAACTACTACAGGAAAGGCAAATTAACATTGCAACTCAAAGTAAGGAGATAAGACTCGTGTCTCACGGACTTCCATCTGCATATCTTCATCCACTAAAGAAAAACAACATGTGTTTGGCTAAAATGGTGAAAGCAAAAATGACTAATAAAACTGATGCAGCAATTGCAAAATGCAGATAAAATGCTAACGGCAATGTCAATAAAGTTGGGATTTGTTTGAGATATACAGGATAAAGTGCTCTGTGCTTTGGGAGTGGGAGTCATTGTTTACTATAACATTTGCACAGTTAAGGGCATTCGTGAGGAACAGCTTTAAAAATCTTATATTATGAAATATATTGGCAGTTAATATTTAGTTTTAAGAAAAATTCAAACAGGAGGCTATCCTTACTGTGGAATTTGGTTTAAATAGACGAAGCCTTGTAAATGCAGTATATAAATTACTTTTACATTTAAGAGAATACTTCAACCTTTGTACATTTTTTTCAAGAGAGGTTGACAAGGTTTAAAACAACTTGTTCATGGAATGCTCCTAATCTCCCCAGGCAACAAAACTAAAACAAACATAAACAACCATTACTGGCATATAATATGCATTAAAAAAGTCTTTCAAGATTTCATAAAAATTCTGAATTTTGGAAAACACAAGTAGTATTTTGCAAAATATTCAGAATACAAAGTATTCCGCAGTACACTGTACATCTTCATCAGTGTAGGATTTAAGACAAGTTATTGTGATCCTCCCAAAAGAAAACAAAAGGTTTTAGGAGACCATAGTAGGCTATGGATGAACGCTAATGATCGTGACCCAATGGGTCAAAGATAAGACCAAGTTAATGACACAAGTGGCAGCTTCTAGTAATAAAAATGTGAATGTATGGGTAGAGCTATAAAAACTGTGACATCATCTCCCCGGTGACGCAGGTAAATGAAACCTGTTAAAAACAGGCAAACGGGCTAGAACACCTCATTCTCTAGCTCCTTCTCTCTGTGAATTTGTTGAGACAACTTTGAGATGGCATTCAGTGGAACCTACCAGCTCGAGTCACAAGAGAACTTTGAAACTTTCATGAGAGCCGTTGGTAAGCTATGCTATTGCAGGAACTAGGAGCCATAGATTGCGATTCTTTATGTTCTAAGCTTTCAGTTTTCAGCTAGAAAGTGAATGTATAAACAAGAGTAGATATGAGTAAAATATTATTTGAAGGTATTAATTTTAAGCTGCAATGAGGAAAAACAGAGCCAATTACTCTGTGTGTCATGAAACGGATGCTGTACAGCAAGTAAGCAACAGAAAACAGCACAGGTACATAGTATCACACCTGGTAGTAGGATAGATTGATAGATAGATAGACCGACCAACCGACCCAACGATCGATAGAAACAGACAGACAGACAGACAGACAAACAGATAGATAGACCGACCAACCGACCCAACGATCGATAGAGACAGACAGACAGACAGACAGGCAGATAGATAGATAGATAGATAGATAAACCGACCAACCGACCAACCGACCCAACGATCGATAGAGACAGACAGACAGACAGACAGATAGATAGATAGATAGACCGACCAACCGACCCAATGATCGATAGAGACAGACAGACAGACAGGCAGTCAGATAGATAGATAGATAGACCGACCCAACGATCGATAGAGACAGACAGACAGACAGACAGATAGATAGATAGATAGATAGATAGATACGTAGATTGATAGACAGACAGACAGATAGATAGATAGATAGATAGATAGATAGACACATAGAAAGATAGATAGATAGATAGATAGATAGATAGACCGACCAACCGACCCAATGATCGATAGAGACAGACAGACAGATAGATAGATAGATAGATAGATAGATAGGGGGCTCCAGTCTGAATTTATTTGATGTGAGAGTGATCCATTACAAAGGTGATCTAAGTAAATATTTTGCTAATTTCTATAGATTTTCTTTGGCTTATTTTTTTTTTTTCCTTTTTTTTTCCATGGGGTTGATAGAGTTCACTGATTATGAAAATGAATCTTTCCCATCTGGTATTATTTTTTATATCTTGCAGTTTGTGGCAAATCAGAACATTCAGAATAATAAAGGGATTGTATGGAATAACTCCCAAAATAGGCTCCACAGGGAACTGGAATAAATTGACTGATTTTTTAAAAATTATTATTGTATTGTTTTTTTATTTATTACAATTTACGTATTTTTCTTTTTGTTTTATTTTAACATCATTTTTAACTTCAGTTTGATATATCAAAATGATCAAATTTTAAACTCAAGGTCTATCTACTGTCTAGCTGAGTACCTTGTATAAAGATCTTTAATAGATCTCAGCTCCAGACTCTTTACCTTTTGTATTGATCACTGCATTTGTACAGTATTGTTCTCTCAGTCGTACAGCATTGCGGAGTTTGCTTGTGATATGTAAATGTCAGTAATCATAAGAATAATACTAATAATGTCCAAACTGGTCCCTAAATCTGGCTTATGTAAGGAATTTAGTAGAAATTCACTTGCAAATCGGCTACCGATGAACAAACATTTTACAAGTCTTACAGAAATTCGCTATGTTTATTTGAAAAATCCAAACTGCTGCTATGTATGTTTTAAGGATACAATGTAAATGTGCATGCAGTTTGCCTTACCAGTTCCGCTTTCTATACCTACAGCTGACAATCTGGCAACAAATTCAAAGCTCTTTACTCCACTGTTAAATGAATACATGCCTAAGTTAAAGTACTGCTATTATAAAAGGTCATTTAATGTAAAAAAAACAAAAAAACAATCAACCATAATTATATCTAATTCAAAGCATTAGATATAATCAAAATCATATTATTTGATTAACAAAATTTTAATATTTTGTTGTTGCAGTTATGTGGTCTAATACAATTTGTGTTTTGTTTCTCCAGGTCTACCCGAGGAACTGATAGAGAAGGGGAAGCATGCTAAGAGTGTCACGGAAGTTGTGCAGAATGGAAACCATTTCATTTTCACTGTGACTACGGGACCTAGGGTTCAACGTAGTGAGTTTACCATAGGTGAAGAGGCAGAGTTTGACTCAATAAAAGGAGGGAAGGTCAAGGTATGACAATACATATACAGCCCAGAATAAAATTTATAACCAAACCTCACCCTTGCAATAATAGTTGTATACAGTCTGGTTCACCCAATTCCATACGTGGTGTCCAGATTCTTACAGTAACAGCCCGTAAAATGAGTCCTATCCCCACGTTTATTGCCAGTGGACTGGTGGGTTTTCTTGGTGGGGTCTCTTTTGTGCCCTACATAGTCAAAGATGATATTACATGACAATCAGAGGACTGTTCTGTATGTAGGGTTGTTTTCGTATATAATTTTGGCATTTGAAAGCCGAGGTGGTTTGTATGTAAGACACAAACAATACCTAGACCGCTTTTTATAATATGATGTCATTCTTATCTCTGAAACTGTTGGTCACCCACTCACAGCTTGTCCCCTGCCCTGTCAACCAGATCAGGCTCTCTTGGCCAACAGCTCCTAACCCTCATAGTTCTCACTGGTTCACTTGAGCTCTAATCTGTACATCATCCATAAATACACTCTCCATATTTCAGCACTATGTAAAAAACATCACAATTAAATGAGCCCAATCCAGAAATATTTGAGTGTCAGACTGACGTTCACAATGGCTATCAAGGGAAATTTTCCCCTGATTTCTATAGTTAGTTTTTTTACAGTTTTTTCCCCCTATATTAGGGTTAATGGAATTTACTGGTGATATGCTGGCAATGAAACTGAACCTTTCATTTCTTGTTTTTCTGTCTTGTAGGCTGTTGTTAATCAGGAAGGGAACAAGCTGATTACAAAACTTGAAGACATCACCACTGTCACGGAGTTTGATGGAGATAAACTAATTAATGTAAGATTATATATTTTTAGTATTATTTCTAAGCAGCCGAGAATAGAATGTATCTGTGTAATATATGTATTTAGAATGTATCTATAGTTCTCTACAATTCAAGTGGCGATGACACCGACCTGTTTTGGAGCCAAAACTCAATAACTTGCACAAATGGTTTTCCTTGTTAACAGTGAATGCAATGACACAAGCACACACATTTCCCATGTACCGGTATATATATTTTTTCTCAATAACCTCTATTAGAAAGCAGCAAACATGGATGTTTGGGTAATGTACAGCATCCTAGTTTGCCTCTCTTCCTTTTGTAAGCGGAGAACAAAGAGGGTGGATTACCTTGGCTAGGGCATGGAAAAGTACCAGTTTCTGGTACTTAAGCACTCTTAATGACTAATACAATACATTGACATTTCGTAAACCCTGAGGGCGGGTTATACACTAAAAAGTCAGGGATGGTAAATTATCAAACAAATTGCAAATTTCTGCAATGATTTCCATGTGGGAAAAATCACCAAAACCTCTGTTATTTCTCTATTATTTTTAACAGCTTATAGGGTAACCCCAATGTCCATAACCACTTTGCTTTTTGAAGTGGTCATGGAGGAAGGAAACTGTCTGTGCAGTGTTTCAGCTTGAAACATTGCACAACCAGAGTTAATCTACCCTGGCACTGGATTTAAGGTGAGTAAAATGCATGAAATTCCTTTCTTGGAGCATTTGAGAGGGGGACCTAAAGAATAATGCCAGAGAGGGCATTATTAGTTTTTTTGTTTTTAAAGTTAGAAGAGTTGGAGTAATCAGTGGTGGAACTACCTCCGGTGCATCCGACTCAGAGGGCCCATTGGGTTACCCATGCACTACCAAGGGTGTCAAGCCTCCTGCACATAGAATGTATGTTGAAAAGAGGGTGGCTAAACATATATACATTATTACATGTGTGGTGTGTGTGTGTGTGTATCTATGTGTTAGTCAGTACATGTGTCTCTATGTGTTTCTCAATGTGTGTATATGCGTGCATCTATGTGTGTCTGTAGGTGTGTATCTGAGTGTGTGTATCTGTGTGTCTGTCAATGTGTATGTATATCTATGTAAGTATGTAGTTATGTGCATATGTGCATACATCCCAGCAAGCAAACACCAAAACTATATGCAAACACAGCCTTGCAATCAAACACAAACATTACATACAAACCACCTCAGCTTTCAAATGCCAAAATTATATCCGAAAACAACCCTACATTCAAACACCAATACTACTCACAAATGTAAACTAGTATTTAAACACTGCATACAAACAACTCTATATTCAAATTCAAACATTACATAGAAGTACATTACTGCATTCCAATGGCTACGGTACATACAAATACATCCCTACGTGCACACATACATACTATTTGCAAAATCATGATACAATTCAAACGCACAAATCCTGCAAATGGTAGACCCTCAGCTGATATTTATTTATAAAATATTTTACCAGAAAGGATACATTGAGATTTCTCTCCCTTTCAAGTATGTCCTGGGTCCACAAAACGTTGCATTGACACAATAGGGTACAATAAAATACAAATACAATACAAATACAAAATATAACATCGTGGGTGTTGTACAATGAATGGGGTTTTACCATTCTAGTTACCTTTGTGCTAGAGGGGGCCGAAAAAAAATCTTACAACTGTCAATCTCTACATTAGTTCGGCTACAGGGAGTAACCCTTTAATGTCACATTTTGGTTGTTATTTCCTTACATTTTACTGTATAGTGATTATATTCAGAATCCTATAGGATAGCTTTCTATACGCTAACCATGCCATAATTCATCTTAGACTACATCTGTTTCCGTAATGTCACTGTATAGTTATTCACCTCTTCCATGATGACGCCTGTACTTTACTAACGATAAGGTATGTAAATGACTTGTGGTTGCCAGATCCCTTAGAACATGGTCACGGATCTACTGCTTGCTACGATCAATGAATCCTGTATATGGTAATAAAAAACGTAACCCATATATTTAGCAACATACATTTATTGTCTTGTTTTTTCTTATTGGTTAATTTTCCAGGTAATGACTTTGAAAGATATTAACTACAAGAGAATCAGCAAGAAAGTCTGAAAGATGAAGAACCTTTCAATATTATTACGAATGAAAAAAATAAAACGTTTCCTTTAAAAAAAAAAAGAGTTTGTTTTATTATTTTTTAATAGAAATGTTTGATACAAACAAATGCTTAATATTTGGGTTCCTTAGAGGATCCATACTTATTTGGTCTATAACGTATTGAGCTTTGGTTTAGAATATCCCTTTGCCTACTGAGTGAATGACAATCTAGGAAACAAGAAGAATAAAAGAAGAATGACAATCTAGGAGACTTCTGATCATAATTCTAGACCCGTTGTCATTAGTCTTTTTTTTTGTCTTTGTACCCCACAAAATTCATTTTTAAGCCATTTTTCTCAGCCTTCATGTTGGGTGCAGAATTGAATTTATGAGCTTCACAGGTTGCCACTGGAGTCCTCTCCCACTTCTCCATGATGACATCACAGAGCTAGATGTAGGTGCAGGAAGGTGACTTCCCTGGGGCCCACTGGTGGCTCAGACTCCTCTCTTCCTCCTGCGCGGCTCTGTCTGATAGCTCCGTTCCTCCCAGCACTCTGATGTCATCTCGGGGGGCCCGGTCACGCTGTTATAATGCCGCAGCGCTGACCGGGCCCCCTGGAAATCCATAGCCATCGGGTGGCCCTAAGAGAATGGGCCACCCGATGGGCACCTTCACGTGCGGACCCGGCAGTTTTACTATGCAGGTCAGAGCCACAACACATGGCGGCGGGAACCCAGACCCCTGCGAGCCCTGTATGTAAGCCACTGTACTCCGCAGATGTGACCAAAATAGTAAAAAACAAAAAGTTAGCATATAGTAATTATAAAAAAAAAAACAGAGATTTATAAGATTAGGCAGAAAGAGGCTAAGCAAGTTATAAGAGCTTCCAAATCACACAGAAGAGAAATGGCACAGTCCATTAAAAAAGGGGACAAAACCTTTTTTAGATACATAAATGAGAAAAGGAAAGTAAAACAAGGATTAGTTAGATTAAAAACAAAAGAAGGAAGGTATGTAGAAGAGGATAAAGGTCTAGCTGACTGCCTCAATTAATATTTTTGTTCTTTATTTACAGATGAAAATGAAGGAAAGGGACCTCAATTAAGAAAAAGAATAAATGAGTCATTTATTTCCTGTGAGTTTACAGAGGAAGAGGTTCTATTTCAACTGTAAACAGTAAAGACAAATAAGTAAATGGGACCTGATGGAATACACCCAAAGCTATTAGACGAGCTTAGTGGTGTACTAGCAAAACCATTAACAGATTTATTTAACCAATCATTGTTAACTAGAGTAGTCCCAGAAGATTGGAAGTTAGCGAATGTTGTGCCCATTTACAAGAAAGGTAATAGGGAGGAGTCAGGCAACTATAGGCCAGTAAGCCTTACTTCAGTAGTGGGGAAAGTGATGGAAACCATGTTAAAGGATAGGATTGTTGAACATCTAAAAACACATGGATTTCAAGATCAGAGACAACATGGGTTTACTTCAGGGAGATCATGCCAAACTAATCTTATTGATATTTTTGATTGGGTAACTAAAATTATAGATCAGGGTGATGCAGTAGACATTGCTTACCTAGATTTCAGTAAGGCTTTTGACACTGTTGCACATAGAAGGCTTACCAATAAACTGAAATCTTTATGTTTGGATTCCAATATTGTTGAATGGGTAAGGCAGTGGCTGAGTGACAGGCAACAGAGGGTTGTAGTCAATGGAGTATATTTGAAGCATGGGCTTGTCACCATAGGGGTACCTCAGGGATCTGTACTTGGACCCATTCTCTTTAATATTTTTATTAGGGATATTGCAGAAGGTCTTGATGGTAAGGTATGTCTTTTTGCTGATGATACTAAGATATGTAACAGGGTTGATGTTCCAGGAAGGAGAAGCCAAATGGCAAATGATTTAGGTAAACTAAAAAAATGGTCAAAGTTGTGGCAAATGACATTTAATGTGGATAAGTGCAAGATAATGCATATTGGACGTAAAAACCCAAGGGCAGAGTACAGAATGTTTGATAGAGTCCTAACCTCAACATCTGAGGAAAGGTATTTAGGGGTGATTATTTCTGATGACTTAAAGGTAGGCAGACAACAAACTATGGAAATGCTAGCAGAATGCTTGGTTGTATAGGGGAGTAGAAAGAGGGAAGTGCTCATGCCATTGTACAGAACACTGGTGAGACCTCACTTGGAGTATTGTACACAGTACTGGAGACCGTATCTTCAGAAGGATATAGAGAAGGGCTACTAAACTGGTTCATGGATTGCAGGATAAAACTTACCAGGAAAAGTTAAAGGATCTTAACATGTATAGCTTGGAGGAAAGATGAGACATGGGGGATATGATAGAAACATTTAAATACATAAAGGGAATCAACACAGTAAAGGAGGAGACTATATTTAAAGAAGAACAACTACCACAACCAGAGGACATAGTCTTAAATTAGAGGGACAAAGGTTTAAACATAATACCCAAAAATATTACTTTACTGAGAGGGTAGTGGATGCATGGAATAGCCTTCTAGCTGAAGTGGTAGAAGTTAACACAGTAAAGGAGATTAAACATGCGTAGGATATGCATAAGGCTATCCTAACTATAAGATACGGCCAGGGACTAATGCAAGTATTTAGAAAATTGGGCAGACTAGATGTTACGAATGGTTCTTATCTGCCATCACATTCTATGTTTCTAAGTTTCTATAAAATAATGGCCACACAAAATATTGACACTTTGGGCCCAATTTGGACATTTCCACTTAGGGGTGTACTCACTGTTGCTGCCAACGGTTTACACATTAATGGCTGTGTGTTGAAGGGACAGCAAATTTACACTGTTATACAGGCTGTATCCTTACTACTTTACATTGTAGCAGACTGTTATTTCTTCATGTTGTCACATGAAAGGATATAAAAAAAAAAAAATACAAAACATGTGAGGGGTGTACTCACTTTTGTGAGATAGTGTATAAACATTATTTCACTCATATTATTAAAGATACACTCCAGTGTTAAAAAAACAAACAAACATATTTTCAGTGTTAAGTTTTGGAGTGTGACAAACAAAAACTGATTCACAAAGTTGTATTCCTAGCACTATAGTGCCCTATCGTGACCCCTTAACCCCTCTCCCCACCGCAGCGCTGAAAGGGTTAAAACTATTTTGACGCTTACCTGATTCCAGCACCAATTTCCAGATCTTCGCTCCTCCGCCGACGTCAGCTGATGTGTAAATAAGACATATTGTTCATGTTCTCAATTACCTTTTAAATTGCATACATTTTTAGTAGGCACACCCCCATTCACACCCCTAAAATTAAAATGTTACTCTTTGTCCTTTTCAATTGTTGGAGGTATCTCATCATGTCTGCTAATAGTTACATAGCTACATAGCTGAAAAGAGACTTGCGTCCATCAAGTTCAGCCTTCCTCGCATTTGTTTTTTGCTGTTGATCCAAAAGAAGGCAAAAAACCCAGTTTGAAGCACTTCCAATTTTGCAACAAGCTAGGGAAAAAAATCCTTCTTGACCCCAGAATGGCAGTCAGATTTGTCCTTGGATCAAGCAGTTATTATCCTACATCGACATTGCACACTGTTGCATAGTTTGTTGTCTATAACAATTCCCAAGTCCTTTTCGTGTGTTGTTATCCCTAATTTTCTTCCATTAAGGGTATACGTTGCTTGTGTATTCTTTATGCCGAAGTGCATAACTTTGCATTTTTCAACGTTAAATTTCATCTTCCATTTGAGTGCCCAGTCCCCCAGTCTATCTAAATCCCTCTGCAGCAAAGTAATATCTTGCTCACATTGTATTATTGTACAGAGTTTTGTGTCATCTGCAAACACCGAAACATGACTTTCAATGCTGTCTTCAAGATCATTTATAAACATGTTAATACAAGCAAGCATTCTTTTTATTACTTGTTGAACATAATAATTACATAATTTAAAAGTTTTAATATTAACTTGATGCTAGTGAACAAGCATACACCACACCTCAAATCCAACTTGGTCTTTTCTACGGTGCTTATTTTGTGATGTGTGAAGTTGAGGTTCAATAACAGACAGCTGTCATTTGACACTTAAAGGACCACTATAGTGCCAGGAAAACATACTCGTTTTCCTGGCACTATAGTGCCCTGAGGGTGCCCCCACCCTCAGGGTCCCCCTCCCGCCGGGTTCTGGAAAGGGGAAAAGGGGTAAAACTTACCTTTTTTCCAGCGCTGGGCGGGGAGCTCTCCGCCTCCGATCCTCCTCCGTTCCTCCCCGTCGGCTGAATGCGCACGCGCGGCAAGAGCTGCGTGCATTCAGCCGGTCGCATAGGAAAGCATTATCAATGCTTTCCTATGGACGCTTGCGTGCTCTCACTGTGATTTTCACAGTGAGAATCACGCAAGTGCCTCTAGCGGCTGTCAATGAGACAGCCACTAGAGGCTTTGGGGGAAGGCTTAATCCATTCATAAACATAGCAGTTTCTAAAAAATGGGTTAACTCTAGCTGGACCTGGCACCCAGACCACTTCATTAAGCTGAAGTGGTCTGGTTGCCTAGAGTGGTCCTTTAATGTTGCACTATTCAAAGTGTTAGTCCAGTAATTCTTAATGGTTGTGTCAGGGCTGAGATCAGGGGTTCCATTCTGTTTTATTGGAATACCCTTGGTTGAAACTAACACATACTATTATTCCACCTACAGACACTAATCCCAATTTGGTGTTTACTGAGGCAGTGAGGTTCTGTCCAATGCAAATTGTAAGACCCCTTTGAACGTGTTTAACTTGATTTTGGTGCAAATAAAGAATAGTTAAATAAGCTAATTGTATAAAGGAAGGATTGACTGCCAAGTTAATTCCATGTACATAATTTAACGAAAGAGTTATATGAACACTTTAAACATTAAATTACCTCTAAATTACCACAGCAGCTTATTGCAGTGGTTATAGAGCAAATAGTGTTCCGGTACCTTTACCCCTTTTTTCTATATTTTCATCCCATGACTTCTGCCATTCAGGTAAAGTGAATTATATGTACTAAGTCACACAATCTTGGATGCAATGAGAGGCTGTTGATTCTAGAGGAGCTGAAAACTTATAGCTAATAATTTCCATTCAAAGTTGGACAATTGTTATGGATCTGCGAGACAAGAAAAGGGCCCGTTCTTTAGACCCACAGGAGAACTTTAAAGTGGTTTAACAGAGAACTGGGCACCTACAGACTCCTTGCAGCATAACCACTAATATGGTGTTTCAAAGCCCCTTTAAGAACTGCAGGTTAATTAAATTTGTTTCAGTCAGGAAAAATCTAGAGCAATATATTTTAGATTCAGGAAACAAAGACAACGTGACATGGCTGTTTGTCCCATTGTCCCATTGAGCTGAATGGCGAAAATCGTGTGCATACACTTGCATATGACCATGAGTGCAGGCATGCACAGTGCTCCCTCATTGATTTCAATGAGTGAAACAGCCCAGAATAATTGAATTAAATGACAGATACACTGCACTTTTTTAAGCATCATATGCCTACAGAAATGAGAAGACCTAAGGCAAAGGATAAAATATTTTATTAGCATGAAAAAGCAGGTCTGGAATACTATTTCCAAAACCATAACTTTTAGTCTGGCATGTCCCTTTAAGAAACCTGCAGACGACAAGGTTGTCTGAAGGTTTGAAGTAGCTTGGAATAAAAAGGTAGCGCCTTGTAAAAGCTGTCCCAGCATGCAAATTGCCTGTTTAAGAGCGTATCTCAAGTTTTATTGATTTTAGATTTACAGGGTAAAGGTAAATTGCAAAAGTGTTTATTCACTAAACAGAAAACTGATTGCAAACTACAGACTGAAATAGACATTTTGGAGAAAAAAAAAAAGATTTGAAGAAGAAATTGTCAGACGCTGCTAGTTTGTTTCTAATTGTCTATATAACCTTTATATATATATATGAATGAATGAAATGACACCAAGAGGGCTGCACTCACCTGTACATACATACATAATAGGGTGCTGCTGGGGCCAATTCATACAATATCCAGCGCACTCACTCATTCACTAAACAGCAATTTAAAAGCTCAAAAAATGTAACCACCTACGCAAAAATTGCTCAAAATTGCTGTTTAGTGAATGAGTGAGTGCGCTGGATCTTCTATGTTGTATGAATTGGCCCCAGCAGCACCCTAAAATGTATGTATGCATGTTCAGGTGAGTGCAGACCACTTGCTTTCATATATTTATTATTGGGAGTCCAGGCCAAGTCCCAGGTTTTGCAGTCCTCCCTGTCACAGGTGCCTCATTCCAGGGCCCTATATAACCTTAATATGCAGAGACTCACAGGAGGAAGCATTTCCCAAGTAAGTGGATTCATTGTGTAAGAGCAGGCATTGCATTGTTAGGATAGGGACTGCAAAATGGGCTATATTGTGGCAGGTTTAGGCAATGCGTGGTTATATACTGTAATCAAACCTCCTGTTATTTTTTTTTGTCTGGGTGTTTATAAAAAATACTACTGTATTCTTTGATCATTGAAATTGCTGTTTAGTAGATGTTGTTCATAGCTTTATTATATATTGCATTGTTTGCACCAATGCTTATGTTATAACCACCAGTACCATATGTATTTAATCAATACACTCTGTAATAGCACAGTAAGTAAACAATATAAAAGTAACGGGGGGGGGGGAAACACGTGAGAAAGGAGATGAGGGCCCTGCTTATGTGGTGACTTAACTTGGTGAATAAGTCCCTGAGATAGTTTACAGCCTCTCAAGGCAAATAAAACAAACACCAGTAAATGTCAGTCACATAAATGTATACCAATGACCAAATAGTAACGCCACATAGCAAATATTGGATAAAAGTCTAACGTGGGAACTACCTGCAATAATAAAGGGACTTGCATAACACTCTACTTCGAACAAACTGTGTCTAAAGTATCTGCATTTTGAGATCTTTCAAATCACTAAGTTTGTACTTTATGCTGTTCCCAGTGCAACCGCTTTGTAAAGGGGACGAGCTAAATTTACCTATGTTCAGCTACTGAATGCAATCTGCTTTTTATTTTTATTATGCTACGACTGAGTAGCCTTTTAAACTTGTATTAGAGGTTATTGAATTAAAAAGTATCTCTTGTCTTAGTGCAGTGTATTGCTCTAGGTATAAAGTCGCATGGGGGAGGTACTCTAGAATTATGGAAGTGGCATTGGGTCCTCAATGTTCTGCTTGGAACAATGGCTCTCTGCTTATTGTCAATTCTGTGCATTTTGTTTTCTCATTCTTTTGATTAAACTGATCAGCTGGCATCATAATCAATACATCAGACTGTATTGGTTACAATGTTTAGTTACCCTTTAAGGATTATCTGCGATGCCTAAAATGACTTCTTCTGGCTGCATAGTTTATCATACCTAACCTGTGTTTAGCAATGTGATAAATGTTCATACTATTGCCTCATGAAGCATGTCTGAGGGGGAGGGGGAATTATTTTTTTATTTTTTTTGGATACTACACTCCATAGTACTTTAGTCTGCAAGGCATCAATAAGTTATCATTTGGATAGTGGAGTGATTATCAAAATAAAAGAGAACAAATGGGCTTTACAGGGTTAGCTTATTCTGATCTAAATTGTGATGTTTCGTATGACTAAGTGCTGTAGGCTAAAGGTGTGAAATATACTGGAGTCACTTGGTTGTTATCCAGTGGGTTACACCCTTGCCATCAATGAGATGACCATTACTCATGGTAGTTAATGTTTGATCACCACTGTAAAATGACATCATCCTACCTCTGACCAGATTTGGAGATAAATTAAACCTATTATAAGCAGGTAGATGAGCTGACTGAGTACATTCTGTCTTCCTCTCTCAAGGAGCTGAGAAGTTTTCAAGATGGCGTTCAATGGCAAATACGAGCTTGTGTCACAAGAGAACTTTGAAGCTTTCATGAAAGCAATTGGTAAGTAATGCTGCTATTCCTAAAGCTTGAGGCGTATTCTACAAACAAGGAGAGATAAGTAAGACTTTTCACTCAGATCAATCAATACTTGGGTGGAGAAGCTAAAACCTGGTTTCCTTGCTTTGTAACTTCTGTTTAACGTTTCATAAAAGTGCCATCCTACTCGTCAAGGCTGTCTCTGTAAGATGTGGCTGCAGCACAAAAACGTGACAATTAGAAATATATTCTCTACCCAGTGGAGTTTAATGTATTTTGTTTCTGATATTGGAGAAGGAATCAGAACAATGAATGTATAATGTCCCTTATGTAAAGGATTGCTATATAATTTTTTTTTTTAATCCTTACAAAAGTAAATCCTAGCCTAAACACTGCTTTTTATTTAACTAGCTGTTTTTTTGGGGTTTTTATTTCCTTCACCCCCCCCAGGGTGATCTTAATGATCAAGGAATTTATCAATTTGGGGGGGGGGAGAAACAGGCTTACACACTAAATCTTTGTGCATGGATTGTGAAAGCTTGTGAAGTTGCCCAATCTCTTGTCTAGCATTTTGTTTATTAGTTGTTTAAATTGAGTAAACTATGTATCTGATTTCAAGGTCTGCCTGATGACTTGATAGAGAAGGGGAAAGACATTAAGAGTGTCACTGAGATGGTGCAGGATGGAAACCACTTTATTGTCACAGTGACCACAGGCTCCAAGGTTCTACGTAACGAGTTTACTGTGGGCCAGGAGGCTGAGCTGGAAACCCTTTCAGGAGAGAAGGTCAAGGTATGATGCGCTTAATGTTTTTCCAAAGCACTGATACACTAAAATTGTGTAGATCCGAACATGCAATGTTTACACAGCCTAACAAGCTTATTAAAGTTACAAAGCACCAATATGTTCCACACCATTGAACAGAATCCTTTTTTACATATTATATGCGAACCCCATCATAAATAATGGATTAACATGTGTTGCAGAATGTTCAGTTTTGACAGTGAATGGAGCTGATATTCTTATTCTGTCTTGCAGTCTATCGTTAATCTGGAAGGGAACAAGTTGACTGTGAACCTTAAAGGAATTAATTCCGTCACTGAACTTGTTGGAGATACAATCACCAACGTAAGATTACTATTTAATTTTTTTTCTTTTCTATTCAGGGTATGAACAAAGAAAATTAAAACTAAGTGAGAGTAAAATATTGGTCTTCTTGGCCGTTCAGGTTCTAGACTTTTATTTTTATTTCATCAGCCCTTGCCTTGTGACAGGTTATCAGAGCCTGTTGTGGAGATATCAAAATGTATCTCTATCTCTTTAGGGTTCTGCCCCTGACCAATACCCTGAGTTTACCATTATAAACTGGACATTATTGATCCGGAGTCTGGCTAGAGCAAGTCCACATCAGTGTTGATATATTTCAATTTAGTTTTAGTTTTTTTTTGACTAAAGCTGTTTTTAGTCAACTAAATCTCCAGTAGATTTTAATCCACACAACTAATATCTAATGGGGTTTAGTTAAAGCCTATCTCTTTTGCCCCTCTGTTTATCTCTTCCCCCCCACCCCCCAGCTCCTCTATGCTGCTTTGTCATCTCATCTTCCCCACATGTCATTCCTCTCTTCACTCCCCAATGTCTTACCCGCCAGTGTTAATGTAGGAGGCAAATTACAATTTTTAGCTTTAGTCAGTCTTATGACTAAAAAGCCATTTTAGTTTGTCGGGAGGAAATTTATAACTAGATATTCTTAATTGTGGATAAGAAGACTAACATTAGCTGAAATTAAACTTTGTGAAGAGGTTAAGCTTTGATTGGGACACAATCCTAATAACTGCACTGGAATCTAATCACAGGGATATGATCTATGTTGCGTGGACATACAAGCCATTAAAGTCTAAGGGGTTTACAATGGGTGGATGAACAGACATGTATACTTATAACCAGACAAGTATATATTACTAATTGCAAATGTTTCAGTATAAAGTCCCTAGTTCACGAACCTAGTCGTGACATGTGATAGACCCGACCTACTACAGCACAAATTCATCCCACTTTTGTCCATATAGTGCTGTTTTTGTTTTGGATTTTTAATAATTTTTTTAATAATTATTTAAGTACTTATGAGTTTGTAGATGTAGCGTTATTGATTTGTGTGGGTTTTCTTTTTCAGGTGATGACTGTGAAAGACATTGTCTACAAGAGGACCAGTAAGAGAATTTAAGAGATGAAGTTATTGTTACTTTTACTATGTAAAAAAAATAAATAACTGGCAAAACAAAGTCTTATTTTTTATATTTTTTTATAAACAAAATACACAACCCTTTGGTTTCTCTGCAGTACATTCAAAATGGCTTGTTCCCGTGTTTCTAAAACTTAAGGTTCTAAAATATATTTCGGCACTTTGAATACATCACAGAATTTCTGGGAAATTACTGAGTAAACAAATACTGGTGACGTTACATTTATCTAGTGAATTTCATATTCCACATAGAAATAGAGGAATTGGGGACGTTGGTGGGATTTATCAGTGTTCTGTTCTAAAATGGGAGGAGTCACAACTGGAATGTGCCTACTAGTTCCATTGGTAGCCATTGTGACTGCCCTATTACTCTAGATTATTTATTTATTTATTTATTTTTTGTCTATTGTCCCCAATACCTCTTGCCTAGAGATGTCTAAAGCACCATGAATCATTTTAGCACCCCTATATCTACACCATCTGGAAGTAGAAGTCCCAAAGCTCCTGCCTAATCCAAGGGCTCTGTTGGCGGGGAGAGTGGCTGCCAATGTGGAGACCCAGCTGCTTTGTGAATAGACCTGCTCTCGCCCATATTTAGGCCAGATCCTATTTAGTTTTTGGGGTTTTTTTCTCCCTAGTTTAATTATTTTTTTATTTCTCATGTTATCTATTCTCTGCACCATAGTATCCTACTTAAAGGGATATTATAGTGCCGGAATACAAAGCTGTATTCCTGGCACTATAGCTCCCCTACCTCACTCACCAGTGAATAAAGGGATTAAAAACCCTTTATTTACTTACCTGACCCCAGCACCGCTATCCCTCAGCGCTGGGTCGATTCTCCACCCCCTCCGATGTCCCACACATGCATTAGACTTCCCAATAGGAAAGCATTGATTCAATGCTGCAATGTGAACATTGCAGTTTCTCTAACTGCAATCTTAACATTGCAGCATTAGGTGCAAAAGGGACACTGCACCCAGACTACTTCAATGAGCTGAATTGGTCTGGGTGCCTAGTGTCCCTTTTAACCCTTGCATTGCTGAGATTTCATCAGCCTCAAATCATAACAGAACCTGTTGTACTCTTGCTGGTTGAATTGTGATAAATTAAAACAATATTCTGGAAATTTATATTGGCTGTAATGATCCTAGTGTTGTGACTACCTTCAGCTGGATCTGTTTAAGATAACTCTTATGGCGCTGAGTAGGCCTGAGAACTGTAAATCTTCCAATACACATGTGTCATGGCTTCCAGGATGTATTGGAGGAAATACAATGTCAAGCAGTTACAGTAGCAAATATCATTATATCACTGGTTTCACAGCTAAGGATGAATGTTAAAATGTGTTTGGTTTTGTAGCTCTGACTATCCCAAGATATTTAAAATCCTCATTGGGTTTCAAACTAGTCCTCATGGCCCACCAATAGTGCATGATGTATGCATTTGTGTTTTTGTCTTCCTCCAATGGAGATCCTAAAACAACCTGGATTGTTGGGTCTTTTGGGTTGGGTAACACCGCCCTAACTTTCAAAGTTAAAGTGATTATGTAAATTATTGAAAATAGGTGTTATGAGCTAGTTGGCACAATATGCCACATTAGGACAGGTGTGGGATTACTGGGGCGGAGGCTATATTGTATGGGATTTAAAGTGTGAAATATGTTTATAGATTTAGCCAATATATGGGAAATCTCTGGACTCTGTCATCCTTCAGCACTCCAATAGAGGGAACCATGGCTCTAAGGATGGCCCTGCCTTCTTGACATTAAGAGGTAAATGTACAGAAATTGGATGTTTTGTTACATAACTGATATGGCACACTAATGGGAAAAAAGTGTTTCTACACATTAAATCTGCCTGGCTAGCCTCAGTGCAAGGAAACATCTGTGTGTGTTTTCTGTATCCCGTACAGGCGTTTAAATTATCCTGCTTTTTGGGTCAGTGGAATTTTCAGTTACTTTGCTTCAGTTTACTGGTAATGCGGCACTAGAACCATTTCTAACCTTCAGGACTGGTCCTGAAGGTTAGGGACTGTCAAGGAGCCTATCAGTGGCACCATCCTAATTTTCCCTGACCAATGGTTGGGAGCAGAGTCAGATTGGCCCACCGGGATACCAGTGAAAGAGTGGCTGGGAGAAGAGAGGCACACAGATGGGATTTGGGAGACAAAGGGGCTGGGGCTAAGATATACACAAATGGGGCTGAGGGGAAAGACATACAGAGGCTGGAAAAGGATAAAAAGAAACACACTGGCTGGGATGAAGTAAAAGACACACAAGGGGAGCTGACAGAGAATTACAAGAGTGGCTGTAAGAGACAAAAAGGGGAAAATTGGAGACAAGATACACTAAATGGGGTAAAAAAAAAAAAAGAAGGAATAAGTTTGCCACACATGGCTGGGGAGTACATTTTTGCCTGTCTCCTGCTCTCCCTGTAACTGTTTTTCAGCATGGGAGTGTCGGAGAGCTAATTGACAGGTGAGAGAAAGACCTCTTATTACATAGATTTTCCTTCCAATATATGCATTTTGCTAGCAAACTTGATAACACAATGTACAGAGACATAATTGATGTGATCCTGACCGTAATACACACATATTTATACATGTATATTAATGTGTGTATTAGTAAAATATATAATTATGCCTAATATTTACACATATATTAATATACATTTATATATGCATAATACACACAGAAATGTCATTAATATATAACATATGTGTAATGAGCACAAATTGGTCCAGTCTTTTTGCAAGGTGCAAACGCCAGCACAATAACAAATCAAAGTGATGAGCACAGTCATAGGACATCAAAATAAACAAGATAACTTCACTTTTTACAGCTGTGCAACATCATACATTCCCCATTTCCATCCCATTACCAAACTTTCCTTACTATGTCAAGATACTTGTACTGAAATATTGATTATATGCAAAGGCACGTCTGCTTAAAATAAAGCCGCTGTTTTGTTTATGTTGAAGCCCTATGGGTGCTTTCTTTCGTTGCAGTAATAGTTTTCTATTTTAAGTTATCTTTTCCACCTTTATATCTACACACTTTGCTGATGCAACGCATTATTGGGCTGCTATAGAATATTTTCCAGGGCCGATATTAGTTCCCAGTCCAGCCCTGGTTGGGAGTTATGCATTTACCTATTTCATGCATTTTAATATGTATTATTTCATTTTTAGGGAGATAGACTTAGCTATACCATCACATTAATCCTTTCCACCCCACCCAGTACTCCTCCCTGTCTCTTTACAGAAAGTCTGCTGCTTTCTTCTAAATGTTTCTTTCATTTACCTTCATGTATTGACCAGCCCCGCTGGACCAAGTCAATTTGTTTACCATCACTATCCACCTACACATGGGTCACTTTATTTCATAGCATGATCTTTCAACTGTATCTAAACTATTTAATAACCTCACATGCTACACTGTGTGCATTCATCCCCTGATCTCTGGCCATTACTTCCAATACACCCCATTGTTACCTTTAGATTGTAAGCTCCCAGGTTATTTTGCTGAGAATTTGGTAGATTGGAACCTCACTGGCCGGGTCATCTATTGCTCTTGAAAAAGTATATGGCCATCATTTGCCTGTATTCCCTCTATTGTATAGTGCAACATGTACAATATGTAATTATCATTTAGTATTTATATAATTCCATCTCTCTATCTGTGACTCACTGAATTTATCAGCTACTAATGATGGGTATCTTTTTGAAAGATTGTTTGTCAGCATACCAACCATGACATGCAAGTCTTATCTCTCTCAAGGTAAAACTTCATAGCCCCCGTTTGCCACACATGGCTAGTAGCTGGGGGATACTAGGTTTGCTACATCCAGTTTATTCATTAATAACCCCTACACACCACCCACAGGTAGGAGTATAGTAGAATGTTTAATTTAGCCACACCCTTTGGTCACTGGTGGCGGCAGATGATGGACAGTGATTTTTTTTTAAGTTGCTGCCCACTTTCCAAGTTTTCCCTGTATTTTATGTGCAACTGGGTATCAATAGCTGCAAAGTAGTTTTTCTAATTACAGTGATCAGCTGCTGGCCCCTCCCTTAAACTAATAAGCTTTTTTATTACATTTTTTTAATATCTAATATATATGTATAAACCCCAAAAAAGCCCATAAATGTACTTTCAATGCACATTTATAAGCGGTTTTATTTCGGTCAGCCGACCCACCTATCAAGTTCGGTTGCTTTAATTTTGTCTGGCATTAAATCCAGCTGAAATTCAATTTTAAAACAACAGACAAAATTTTTTGATAATTATAGATTGTTACCGGCAGATAGAATTAAATCAAGGTTATAAAAGTTATAAAGTTATAAAATGTAAAATAGCTAGATTTGTGGTTATCAAGGCTAACAATTTTCTACTCTATGTTGTAAGTACTGTTATTTTAGCATGTAATTAACTATAATATTTTTTATTTTCACAACTATTGCATGCTGGTAAAACCTTATAATTTAATTGATGGCCAGTGGTCTCGGCACCCATTACAGGTCTTGGTTGATCCATAGACACATAGATCTGGAGTTTCCATCACAAATTTCAGCAGGCTTACTCTGCAACTGTGAGTGCGTCCCTTCACACAGGAGTTATGTTTTAGGTGCGTAACTCAGCACCAGATCGTATGTTCTTCTCCTGTGCAACTCATAAGTATAATTGAATTGTAAGATCTTTGTGAATTAGAAATAGACCCTCTAAGACCTTCTGAGTAGCATTTAACCAAGTTTAGCTTCACTCACAGCAAAGCTTGAATCAGTACTGGTATCCAAAAATGTTAGTTACCAGTTCCGAATTTTCATATGTTTCCAACTCCACAGGGTCGGCCCAAGACATTGTGCTGCCTGGGAAGAAGAATCCATCCTCCATCCGCAGTAACACATATATGCCCTGATTGGCAAAAACACATGGGCGGCAGCGTAATTCTATATAAACTTAATATATATTGCCAATGAGTAGTAAATGCATACACTAGTTATATCATGCCAATGAAGCAAAAATTTCATAAACTTGGTATATCATGTCAATGAGCATTAAATACATACATCCTGAATATCTTGCTATTCTTAAACTTTGTATATCATGCCAATGAGCCCGTGTGGCTCCAAAACGTCTGCTAGTGCCATCTCTCTGCTCCCAGCCTATGTGTGCCATCTCTCTGCCTCACGGTGCCATCTACCTGCCCCCAGCCTCACGATGCCATCTCTCTGCCCTTAGCCTCCCTGTGCCATTTTCCTTCCACCATCATCTCTGTGCCACCAGCATCTGTGCCTTTGCTCTGCTCCCAGCCACTCTGTACAATCCCAGTGTGTGGGATAGATAATTTGTGTGGAGGGGGACAGTGTGTGTGGGTGCTAGTATGTGTTGGATGGTGACAGTATGTGTGGGAGGGCAACAGTGTGGGAATGATGACAATATGAAAGGTGGTGATAGTTGGGTGGATGACAGTTGGGGTGATGATAGCATGAGGGGATGGTGACAGTGGGGAGGTGATAGTGTGTGTGTGGAGGGGTGGTGACAGTGTGGGGAGTGGTGACAGTGAGAGGAATGATGACAGTGGGGACATGGTAGTGTGTGTGTGAATGGTGGCAATGTGGAGGGATGGTGACAGTGTGGGCAGTTATAAAGTGAGGGGATGGTGACAGTGTGTGGGGTGATGGTGTGGGAGGGGACAGTGTGTAGGTGAGGGGTTGGGGTAGAGTTAGTGGTAGGGTTAAGGGTTGGGGTAGGTTTAGTGGTTGGGTTAGGGGTTAGGGTAGGGTTAGGGTTAGTGGTTGAAGTAGGGTTAGGGGTAAGGTTAGGGTAGGCTAACCCTAACCCAATTCCTAACTCTACCCCTACCCCTAACCCTACCACTAACCCTACCCTAACCTTACCCTAACCCTACTCCTAAGCCAGCCCTAACCCTACCCCTAACCCTACCCTAACCCTACACTGTCCCGAAGTTTCGAAGTGCTAAAGTCACGAATTTCAGAATGCCGAACCGAACCGAACCCAATATTTTTCCCATGCACATTCCTAATTGCTACAATTTGAATAATAGCTTTGAGCACACACAAGCTCTCTACAGACAAGATTGCTGACTGATACACATGCAAACAAACTTTCTGATACACACACACAAGCTCACTATGGACAACTCTTTCAAACACACACACACACAAGCTCACTACAGAAACGCTCTCTGACATACATACCAGATAGCTAAAGACAGATAAGCTGTGACACACACACACAAGATCACTACAGACATGCTCTGACACACACACACACACGATTACTACAGACAAGCTTTTACACACACACATGCACAATTACTACATACAAGCTCTTACACACACACAAACATAAGATCACTGCAGATAAGCCCTGATAAGCACACAAGATCACAGAAGATGAATCTTGATACGCACACAAGATCACTACAGACAACTCTTTCAAACACACACAAGCTCACTGCAGAAACACTCTCTGACATACATACCAGATAACTAAAAAGAGACAAGCTGTAATACACACAGGATCACTACGGACAAGCTCTGACTAGTGATGTCGCGAACCCGAAATTTTCGGTTCACGAACGTTGAACGCGAACTTCCGCAAATGTTCGCTGTGGCAAACCCAGCCACTTGGACAATACAAAGAGACTGTGCCTTTAAGGGTTGCCTGTATGTCTAGAGAGATATGTGCTTCATTCTATATGTGTATGCTTTATGTATGTTCTGCATTGCCTTTTGCCGAATGCAAATGGCGGTTTTGTATGGGGATTTTCTTTCGTTTCACGAACGGCACTTTGGAGGGCCGTTCGTGAACCGAACGCAATACCCCCTAATAGCCCACACACTTAGAGGCGTGTGGCGCTAGTTAACCGATTGCAACAATGTTGCAATCGGTTATTAGAGGCTCTCCTGGGTGGCTGTCGTTCGACTACCGACCATGCGGCGGTCGGCCATCTTGGATCCTTTGTTCCCTCAGCGGTGCTAGGTCGTCGAACGCATGGTACTAAAAACGGCTACTCGACGGCACGAACACCGCTGAGCCTCCAGGACGTTCGGGAGTTTCGGGACATTCGGTATTTTGTTCCCTGCAAGCAATCGGTTCTTTTTATATGTTTTATCAGAAATCTGTCTTTCATGCGGCGTTCGGTTATTTTAGCTGAGATCTGAGCGGTAATCTCACGAATGATGCGCTCAGACCCCAGCTATCTACCGAACGTCCATTCGTGTAAATCCACCATATATTCAACAAGTTATGGATTTTTGTGTGAATTGTCGGTTCTGCTGCACGAGGGGATAATCCACTTAACGGTGCATTCTGGGAAGATGATCCCTCTCGTGCAGCGGTGCCTGATGGGAGAAATATGCTGTAATGTAAGTCCCCCATGTAGTCCCCTCTGGGAGTGCCCCTGGGAAGGGACTCAGGAAACCCCTTGCATGGGGACTTGTATAAATTGTCCAGCCGATTAAAAGGATTTCAGTTGACTCTCAGAACTGTGTCTCGTCCGGTTACTGGGAGGTTGGGGATATTGCCTTGTTGTTTCAGCGCTTGACTGTGGATTCGTTTCTGAACCAGCGGAATTCATGGATGTATTATTGGCGTTCCGCTACAATTGGTGGCAAGCGACGGGATCCAACTCTACAGCCGAATACAGCGCATTCGAATGAAAGGAACAACCGAACGGAAAAGGAAAAGGCAATTCGTATGAAACAAGCAGACGAAAGCGATCAGTAAATGGGGACGGATTACACGGCGTTAAAGAGGCAGATGCAAAAGGAACTGCTGGAGGCTAGAGGGAAAAGCGCTAGCAACAAATCTAAAGCAGTACTTATTGCAGAGCTGATGGAAGGCGACCAAGCACACAGCAGTCCACCCCCACCGGCCAGGGAGGAAACACCGTACCAGAGGGAACTGAGAACCCAGTTGGAATTTGTACCACAGCCAGTAAACCTGGACATATTGACCGTACTGATGGCAGACGTCCAGGACTACATTATGGCACATCAACCTCAGGGGGCACCATCCAGGGCAGAATCCATCGCCAACTCATGCTGCACTCCAATAAAGCAGAAAATACCTTACCAGGAGTTTAAAGCGTTCTGCGAGGAGAAGGATGAGATAGACGGATACCTGCAGGATTTCGAGAGGTTATGCGACCTACACGACCTGGAGCCGGCAATGTGGGTACCCCTACTGGCAGGCAAGTTGGCAGGACGAGCAGCAGAAGCTTATCACACTGTGCCCAGAGAGGACAGCAAGGACTATTTTAAAGTCAAAAGGGCAATTCTAGAAAGGTATGCCATAACCCCAGAGGCATACCGGCGGAAATTTCGGGGATTGAAAAAGCCTGAAAGAGATTCCCACGCAGAGTGGGCGCATAAGCTGGACCAAGCTGGAGCAGTTCTTCAACGGCCTGTCACCGGAGGCACAGGAGTGGGTAAGAGACAGAAAACCTCTCACCCTCACAGCAGCCGCCCGATTGGCAGATGAACACTTTGATGCCCGGAGGCACCATGGGCTCCCCAACAGGGGTCCCCTGAGACCACCAATACAACACCACCCGGCCATCTCCACACCTGCCAACCCTATCCCATTCAGGCCAGCACCAGGAAACCCCCCACCACCATCCCGCTACAATGGCAGGGCCAACATACAATGCCATACCTGCCGGCAGTGGGGACATATGTCCCGGGAGTGCACCCAGAATCGGAGTAGGCAGGCGTGGAACCAGGTACGGCAAAACTCCACCCCGAGGGTGGCGGCCCATTTCTACCACACGGAACCTGACCACTCTGAGCTGGCAAGTCTGCAAACCGAGGAACCGTTGGGGGTTCTATATGAAGTAATGACTGTGCAAGCCACGGACAACAGGCAGCATCACCGCCAAGTTGTGTTTGTGGGGGGGAAAGAAGTACAGGGGCTGAGGGACTCGGGAGCCACTTTGACCCTAGTGGCACCACACTTAGTTCCAGATACGGCCCACACTGGCGGGTTTAGTGGCTGTCCGGGTAGCAGGGGGAGCCATGTACCGGTTACCCACTGCCAAGGTACATTTGAACTGGGGTGCTGGGGAGGGGGTTGTGGAAGTGGCAATCATGAAGAAGTTACCAGCAGATGTGGTTTTGGGGAATGACTTGGGCTAGATGACTTCCGCTTTCCTACCTCAGGCCCCTTCACAGGAGGCGCACCCAGTAACTACACGGCAACAGGCTCGCACCACGGCACCACCAACACACTCTGAGGCTCAGGTAAGGAACCATGACCCCCCCTTGACAAATATGACCTGGGACACCCCAACCACTTTTGAAGCCGAGGTTCAGACAGACCCCACACTGCAGGTGTACCGAGATAGGGTAGACACGGACCAGGTGGGGCCGGAGGGGGAACGGTACATTTGGGAAAATAAGTTACTGTACCGGGTGGCTGAAAGGGCAATAGGAAACTCTGTGACGCTCCAAACTAAGCAGCTGGTAGTACCCCAGAAGTATAGGCATGAGTTACTGAGAATAGCCCATGACATCCCTCTGTCCGGCCATTTAGGGATGACCCGGACCCGATATCGCTTAACACATGCTTTCTTTTGGCCCGGGATTTCTAAAGATGTGAGGCATTATTGTACCTCCTGTGATGTGTGTCAGAGGGTAGGCAAGAGAGGGGGTCGCCACAAGGCGAAACTGTGTCCCCTACCTATAATTGAGGAACCGTTCAGCCGTGTAGCTGTAGATATAGTGGGGCCACTACCAAAGCCCAGCCCCTCAGGGAAGCGATATATACTGACCGTGGTAGACTACGCCACCCGGTACCCCGAGGCGATTGCCTTAACCAATATCCACGCTGAGACCGTGGCCGAAGCCCTGATGAAAATATTCTCCCGAGTAGGGTTCCCACAGGAAATGGTCTCCGATAGGGGGACACAATTCACGGCTGAGGTTACTCAGCAGTTATGGAGAATATGTGGCATTAAGCCAATCATTAACTCAGCCTACCACCCTCAGTCCAACGGATTATGTGAGAGGTTCAACGGTACCCTAAAACAGATGCTCCGTACATTCGGAGAGACCCATAAGGACTGGGAACGATTCCTTCCCCATCTGTTATTTGCTTACAGAGAGGTACCCCAAGAGTCTACCGGTTTCTCCCCATTTGAACTGTTATTTGGGAGAAGGATCCGGGGACCGTTGGATCTCATTAGGGAGCATTGGGAGGGGGAGAGTAGCGCAGATGGGACCCCTATTGTACCATACGTGCTGGCGTTCCGGGATCGCCTGGAGGAATTGACCCAGGCAGTACGCACGAACCTCCAGGCCGCCCAGCAACGACAGCGTTGTTGGTATGACAGAGGGGCCAGAGACCATAGTTTTCAAGTGGGACAGAAGGTGTTAATCCTCAAACCTGTTCGCACCGATAAACTGCAGGCCGTCTGGCAGGGCCCATACCAGGTGGTGGAGCAGAGATGCGACACCACCTATGTGATCGGCCCATGCTCCGGAGTAGGGAAGAGACGCATGCTCCATGTGAACATGCTCAAACCCTACCACGAGCAAACTGAGGACGTGGCAGCTATCTGCACGCCCGCCTCAGAAGATCAGGAGAACTTGCCGCTTCCAGATCTATTAGAGCAGGAGGAGCAGAAGGAGCCCTCCCAAGGGGTTCAGCTGGGGGAGCGGCTAAGTCCTCAAGAGCATACCCAGGTACAAGAATTGATAGCGACAAAGAGTGCCACCTTTTCTAACTTACCTGGGTACACGCCACTAGCCACTCACCGAGTAGAAACCCCGGGACAGCTTCCCATGCGACAGACCCCATATCGGATTCCTGAATCCGTGCGGGACCATATGAGGAAAGAGATTGAGGAGATGTTGCAGTTGGGGGTTATCGAACACTCCGATAGCCCCTGGGCATCGCCGGTAGTCCTGGTTCCCAAGAA